ACAATTATCTGTTTGATGAAAAAAGTATTAGCTTCCATAAATGTAAATATGTTGTCGTCTTCTTTCATTATTCTATTAACATATTTAATCCATAATATGAATAGATATTTGATTCTTTGGAATATAAATAAAAAGAAATTTGTGTCGTTTAGCTAATTGTAAATTTCTCCATTAGATGTAATTATTTTTTTTGAAAAATATAAAAACAACTTTTTCGTTTTGTTTTATTTTTTTCTTTGGTATTCTTTTCATTTTCTTCTCGTGAGTGTCATTTAGTGTATAAGTGACGTCAATAGATTATTAGACAGGAATCTAGTAATCATAAATGTTACATAAATATAACCTTCCTATGTCTTTTTTTTTTTCATTTCAGCTAAGACATTTCAAATAATTTGATAAAGCTAATTTCGCTTTCATTATCTATGTTGTTTTTAATTAAGAGAAAGATAAAAACTATAAAAGAATGTTGTTTTTTGTAATTCTATATTTCTTTTGTCATTCATAGATAATAATTGAATTTTCAAACATATGGCATTAAATTTAACGAATACTATTGATCATCAATGTGTCAATGATCATTTATATTCTCAAAATTTTGCAACAGTTAAATTACGTTTTTCACCAACAGTAACAATATTAATCTATAGTATTTATTTATTACCATTTTGTTTCGGTATATTTGGTAATATAAGTGTATGTCTTATATTTTTTCAACAAAGAAAATTACGATCAATAACAAATACATTTTTAATGAATCTTTGTAAGTTGCAGATTTTTCTTTTAATAGAAACTAAAAAAAAAAGAACAGAATCACAAAATATTTTTTATTTTTAAATTAAATTCAAAGGTTTAAATGATTTAATTGTATTATGTTTATCTATACCAATGACATTATCAGCAGCATTACTTGAACATTGGATATTTGGTGCATTTCTTTGTAAATTAGTTAATTTTACTCCAACATTAACTGCACTTGTATCAACATTTACTGTTGCTATAATATCTGTTGAACGTTGGTTTTTTATTGTTAATAAGAAAAAATTTAATCGTCATTGTACAATTGTAACACTTATTTTACTTTGGATTGTATCAATATTAATTGCTTTACCTGAATTTATAGCTCGACATATTGAAGAATTTGCACCACCACCAATACAATTTTCAATGATGAAAATAAATTCATCATTGAATATGTATAACAATAATACAGATTTATCAATAATAGATATGATAAAACCATCATGTCAAATGAAAAAAGTTTATTTTTGTGTTTTAAATCCTGGTTTACGTATGAGAATATTTTCATATATTGTTATAACCGTACAATATTTAGTACCATTTTTATTTGTATCTGTTAGTTGTTATTCAATAAGTCGTTTTCTTAAACGACGTATGAAACAAATGCGTGTATATCAAACACATGATTCAACAAGTTCTTATAATAATTATCCAAAACAAGAAAAAAAAAAATCAAAATTTCATCGTCAAAGTTTTCGTTGTGATGATATAAGTGAACAACATTGTACAAGTTATGAAGAATTACCAGTAACAATAGTTATAAATAAAACTAAATCAAATAATTTATTAACATCTATTCGTAATATATTTCAAAATCATGAAGAAGAAGAAGAAGAAGAAGAACAACAACAACAACATAATTCAATTGTTTTAGATCAACAAAATCATACATTATCTTCTAATGTTAGTACAGTATTAATGCCAAAAGTTAAAAATCAATCACATAGTGAAAGACGTTTTCATCGTAGTAGAAAATTATTAATATGTGTTGCTGCTCTTTTTACTATATCATGGTTACCATTAACTGTTGTACAAATTTATTTAGAACATAATGAAGAAATAACACGTGATGAACCAAATTTTGTTTATGCATTTTTACTTATACCTTGTTATTTAATATCATCATTATCTGCTTGGATGAATCCTGTTATTTATAATTATATTAATCGTAGTTTTCGTCGTGAATTTTATGCACTTTATCCTTGTTGTTGTAAATTAACATCATCATTATCATTAGCATCATCTATTGATAAACGAACAGCTATACCAACAACAATAGCAACAAAACGAACACAAATACAAACATTAAGAGATATACAAGAAAATACTATTGTTCCATTATCTCATTCAAAAAGTAAATTAGAAGCACGTTTTATAACATTTGCTGATAGAGATACAGAATGTACATCAACAGTTATGATTAATCAACATATATAATTCATTATATTATATAAAATTATTGTATAAATTAAATTTTTTTGCTTTATTTTATTAAATAATAATAATAATGATAATACAAAATTGTTAAGTATTGTATCTCAACTTGAACATATAAATTAATATTTTATTTTATTGATTTACTATTATTCACAAGACAAAAAAAATTAGTCTTAAAGACTAATTAAACGAACATAAAAAGACATCAAATTTCTTGTAGTTTTATTTCGAATATATTTGTAATATCTATTAAATATCTTTCTGTTTCAGATGTATCATTAAATATATTGTTTTTGTGAAGTCTTTAAACAAAAAAAAAAGAAAAAAATACATAAAATATATAGATTTTTTACTAATATCTTTGAGTTCATCTTACATAATTCATTATTCTGCATATGACCATTCATCTCAAGCATTTATTCTTTCTATATATGATTCATAGCATTGTAACATGCTTTTTTCTATTATCGTTTTTTTTTTTGAAATAATTACTACATTTGAAATTATTAATTTTTTCATGTATGAAGAAATGAGAAAGAAAACTATAAGATTAAATTTGTTTTTAATAGATTGTATAGTTGATGTAGAATACAATAAAATATGTCAAAGATTTTTATGATAATATCATTCAAAGATAGGGATTTAGCTAGAATTTAGAAAAAAAAAATTTCAATGAAATTGAAATTGAATGAACTTTGAAAAATGCATCATGAGATTAAAAAGATCATTGAAGATAATTATATCTATGTCATATTAATTTAAAATCCATTAACTCTTGTAAGAAATAATTATTATCGAACGTATTTCCTCTATTGTAGAAAACACCGGATCTTCTATGAACGGAAAGTCATTATGAGAGCTTATCATATTTATATATGTATATGTCAATCCATCTGTTTTTTTTTTAATAATTATTTCCTTTTACTCTATTTGTGTTAATCAATGACACATATTTTCTTTGTATTAAACATGAGATTTTATTATTACGTTAGGTAAATACCTTTTCTAAATTAATGGATATAATCATGTTTTTTTTTCATTGCGTGCTGTTTTTTTTTAAACGAAGAAAAAACAAGAAAATAAATGAATATTTTCAGGGCTATTTTTGACACGAGTTTTTTTTTTTTTTTTTACTTTTCTTGCTTTACATATTTATATACTAATGTAAACTGCATAAGCTTAGAAATAAGCAGAATAAAAATTACTATATTGCGAACCGAACTGTTTCTATCTTTGGTATGATTAGAAAACTATTTCTTTTATTCTTCTTTATTCGATTTTCAGAATGAGAAAATTACTAGTTGACGAAGAAACATTCCTAAGTATCGGTTCGCCTATCAGCCAGGATTTAATATATCTTATTCATTATAGTGAACTATATCTACTATAAAAAGAGTTCATGATTATGATTTGTTTCTGAAGAGATTAAACATTATTTTTTTTAGTAAAAATTTTGCTGTAAACTCTCATATTTACGGTAATATGATACTTTCAAATTTTGAATAGAAACCTCGCTTATACATAAAGATTATAATTTAAAAAGCTTGTTAAATGTAAAATATTTGAAATAAGATTTGTCGAAATATGAAGTTTTTAAAAATACCTACTACATAAAGAGCTTATACCTTGAAAGTTTCTTATTTCAAAGAGACTTAATTCAAACATTTTTTTGCACAAAGCTTGTCTAATTGATATCTTTATATGGGTAAAATTTCAGATCGAAATTCAGAAATATTGTCTTGCTGTAAAAATAATTTTACAGTGAAAATTTACAAAAAAAGATATTTGATCGCTGCGAAAAAACAGTGATAGATACAAACTCTTTTTATGAAGCAGAATGCAATAAATTCTAGTTGATAAACGAACTAACATCTGAAAATGTTCTGTCGCCAGACAACTTATTCTTTACATGATTGACAAGAACACATTCAGTTCGATTTATCAAATATTCTGTTATAGAAAGCTACGTTTTCATTGAAACAAAACAAAATATGTATATGAATACTTTTAGCTACTGTAAGACTAAAAGTTCTTATTACTATTGTATATGTTACCGCATATTTGATATTGAATATAGATGTCCTTCTATTAAGTTTTATTTCTATTCAAATTGAATACAATCGATTAAATATCCATTTAGTTTAATTGATAATAGTTACATGAAAAGCAAATCGAAGATAATATATATATATATATATATATAATTAATTCGATTCTATTGTACAAGCACAGTAACATATACGATTCTGGCGACATCATTATTATATTCGTTGTTGTTGTTTTTTTCTTTCCTAATCTTTTAACATTATGAAATTCTAAATTACGCAATTATAATTTTGTCAGAAAATAAATATATTCGAATGAGGTCTGACATATATATCATAGTCATTATTTTTCTTTGGTTCGAAAATTGAGAACATCGAACCTGTCAGATGCTCATCTCATGATCCATAGTTTATCATGCTACAGATAAGACGCGCACCTGATTTTAATGCTTACGCATACAGTAAATAAACAAAACAAAAAAAGGAAAAAGTACATGAATTAATTTCACGTGTTTGCACTTTTTGAATTCTCTCCTTGCCAATGTCTGTTGACAGTGATTTTGAGTATATTTTTTTTTTGAATTGCGTAAAATCTAAGGAATTCTAACGTTATTTCTATTTAGTTCGAAAACTTAATCAAATCTTAATTTTATTGTTTCATACTATTTTTTGTTTTGTTTTTTAAATTTTGTTCTTAGAATAAAAATAACTCGAGGCGTAATGCCAAACGAAACAGCCGCATCAACTTCAACCAGCTGTTCAGCTTGGCAACAATCCTCATCAACAACTTCCAATGATACTTCTAAAGATACATCACCTAATACTGCTCTTTTACCAGTGAGAAAGATATTTTTATTTTTGTGTGTTTGTGTTTATGATTCCATATATATATATATATATAAATGTTTCTTTTCTTTTCACAGCCTAAAGACTGGCCAAGTCTTGCTGAGGCAACTGTTGAATCATCAGTAACAACCAATGAACAAACAGTATCTCATGATAATGAAACAAGAATATCTCAACCAAATACACCTCGAACACCAAAAACAAAAATAAAAGAAAAATTGATAATATCACCATCAGATCAGAAAGAGCAAGAAAATGGTGAAGGTGAAATATCAATAACAACTAATAAACAAAACGTATCTAATGATAATGATAATGAAAATTCTCTACCAAATACACCTCGTACAAGAAAAAAGAAAGGAAAACAAAAATGGGTACCATTATCATTAGATCAAAATGAACAAGAAAATATTCAAGGTGAAACATCAACGACTATAAATGCTCAAAACGGTGCTAATCAACCGACATCAACAAAAACAGCAACATCATCAAAAGGAAATCGTGCTAATCGAAATTCACAGAGTGCACATGGAACTAATCGAAATCGAAATCGTGCACGTAGTCTTGATGGTGCTGCACCAAAAAAAAGTCGAAAAAATCGTGCTACAGCTACAGCAGCAACAGCAGCTGCATATAAACAAGCCTATGATGCATATCAAGATTATTATGCATATTATTGTATGTAAACATTTTTATCGTTTAATAATGAACAGACAAAATTCATATTTTTTTTCTTCAGATTATGATCAAACAGGTATAGGCGGTCATGGAGCTCCATGGTATTATGATAAACAAAGTAAACGAAAAAAGAAAGTTGAGGGAACACTTGGTGTCGATCCGAATGCAGAAACCGAAGATATAATCAGTAAATTATATTTTTCTTTTTTTTTTTTGTTAATAATATATATCTTGTCTTATTTTTTTTTGTTTCTTTTCCAGCCGGTTCAGATATAAAAGGCGCTAATGATTCTCATGAAACAGCTATTAAACATGATGTGCATAATTTTATATTTGATGATGAAACGGTAGTAATTGATGATTGTTCTTTTGTATTGCCATATATAGAAGGTGCTTATTATTTTCAATCAACAACACCACCACCAGCAACTGATATACCTTTAACTAATATTGATATTAATACAGATGAATATACAATTCCACTAGTACCGGCTTATACCGAACAACAATTAAGAGAACTTCTTCGACGTCAAGTGTACATATTGAAGTTTTTTTTTTTTTTAATAATTCAAATTTAATATTTCTTTTTTTTTGTTTTGCTTTATTTCTAGTGAATATTATTTTAGTACAGAAAATCTTGAAGCAGATATATTTCTTCGACAACAAATGTCTAAAGATGGTTATGTACCATTATCACTTATTGCAAGTTTTAATCGTGTTCAAACATTATGTGATGATATTAATTTTATAGCTGATGTTCGTTTAAATAAATTCTTTAACAAAGAAGTTTTCTTTTTTTTTTGTTTAAATTTTTTTAGGCTGTTAAAGATAGTCTTGTTGTTGAACTTAATGATAAATGTATGGTACGTTGTCGAACTGAACCAACACGATGGCCACTTATTATGGATGTTAGTAATCATTTAACAGCACTTAATCCTGATGTACCTGATTTTCAACCTGGTAAAATTTGGAAACATGAGAATGAGAGTAAGTATAAGAATTATTCTTTCTTTTTTTTGTGAAAACAAAAAAAAAAAAAAAATTATTTACTTATAGATAACACAATTCTTAATGGACTTGATGATGAATCACAATTGCTAGAGAAAGGACGAACGAAAACTAATGAAGTTGATTGGAGTCATGTACCCACTAAACGAAAGAAACCAACGAAAAAAAAGGTTTTATTAAATAAAATAAATTCAATTTTTGTTTTTATTTTTTTTTTTATCATTTGAATCTAGGAGAAAAAAGAACAACAACAAACACAACAACAATCATCTCAGACAATTCAACAGCAACAACAACAACAAAAATCACCATCGGATAATCGTGAAGAATTAGATTTTCAATTCGATGAAGAATTATCTACTACACAAACAAATTCAAAAATAAATAATAATAATAATAATACATCATCATCTGATGTTCCACCTTTATTATTTCCACATAATCGTCAAAATCGACGTCGTACAACATCATTAACACTTGATTTACATGAAGAACCGTATATATTTTAGTTATTTTTAATATTAATAAATTATTTCATGTTGTTTTTCTAGAGAACGTGATGAATTAGATTTTGAATTAGATGATGATGATATTGATAAAATTCTTATTATAACACCAACACCACCATCAAATCGTAAACAACATCAAAAAAATCATGATCGTACAGGTGAATATACACCACGAGCACGTATGACAGCTGAAATAGCCAAAATTATTGATGATGGTTTAAGATGGTATGAAGAAGAACTATGGCATGATCGACCAACAACAGCAGCTGTTTGTATTTCTTGTTGTTTTTTTTTTTTTAGTTTTAATAAATATTATCTTTTAAAAAATTCTTCTTTAGAATGATAAAACAGTGAAATTAATAAGTCAAGAAGAAATGGATGCACTACGTAAAGGATCAAATCAATCACAATCGATGAATGTAAGAAAACTAAGTATTGAAGATGATGATGATGATGATAATCAAGATTTAAATCAAAATTCTCAATCACAAACTGATAAAGGTAATATTATTTAATTCTTATAAAAATTTATTATTATTTCTTTTTTTTCTCTAGAAAATATTGAATCAAAGATAACATCAACAATAATAACAAATGATAAACAATCGCGTAGTCCAGCTATTGCTATTATTTGTTCAAATAATCGTGCACCACCACAAGTTGAACCATTTTATCGACCAAAACATTTACCTGTTTCAAATCAACAACAAAATTCATCACAAACATTAACAAATGATTTTATGTCACATTCATTACCTGTTAATACTAATGCTGATATTCCATTAGTACCTAAACCAATAACAACAAATACAAATGATAAAAAACAACGTTCACAAGCATCAAAAGAACATCCAGAAGAACCACGTACACCACATTCACGTGCTAAAAATATTGCTCGATTTTATCCAGTTACAAAAGATGCTCCTGTTGTTAAACCAGATGTAAGTTTTTTTTTTTGTTTTTCTTATATTTACAAAAACTAATAAGTTATTGTTATTGTGTTTTTTTTTCAGACACCTGGTCTTAAACGTAAAACTCGTCATAGTGAAAATCCACCGGTGGAAAGTTCAGTTGGTTGGGTATTTGATTCACGTGGTCATCCAACAACGACAACAACAACAACGAAACAAAGAAGCAGTACAACATCTACTGCTACGTAAGATTTTCTCTTTAGAAAATTATATTTTGTTATATTATGAAAATATTTGTTAGAAGAATTATGAGTTAGAATACATGGATTATATTTTATTAAAAAATTTACTTTTGTTGTTTTTTTGGTATTTAGAACTCGACAACAAGATCTCTATGATCAATATTCATCATCATATAATGAGAATCATTATTGGTATGGTAATGTATATGGTAGTAATTCAAATTTATATGATTATTACGGTTCAACACCTGTTGAAATTCCACAATTTCAACATCCATCTCATTCACTGTTACAACAAAATGGTTTTACTCAACAAGTTTATTTAAAATATAAACAACAATGTCTTGATGGTAAATGAAAACATTGTTAAAGATTAATTAAAAAAAAAAGTCAAAAAGACATTAGTAGATAAAAAAATAGTCTTAAAGAATATCTTTTCTATATTAACATCAAACAATCTGCATTTGTAATTAAAGTAGAAAAATAGAACCTAAGCCTAATAAGTTTGAGTTGTTTTTCAATCTCTTATGAAAGAAAAAGATCGAAGAAGAAAACAGTAGTCTTCAAGAGACTTTACAACCGACGTTTCGATTATTTTTCTCTAGCAAACGATAGATATTGAATATTTCTAGTTCGACAATTTTTTGATATAGTTCCAGATCAACGAGATAGTAATTATATTTTAAAAGATTACACACCATTCCTATGAAATTGTTAGTTAAGAGTTTGATAAAAATATCTTGTATCGGGTTTGATCCTAAAAAAAAGTCCTTTTGTAATATAATATTTTATTTCATTTATGAGCAGACGTAGAATATTAAATTTCTCTATCCTTGTCAAATATAAATGAATATATTTATTATGTTTATCTAAGTCATTAATTCATTCAAAATGTCGTATTTGTAATATTAATAAAGTGAACTTCGTTTTTTATTTGTATTCTAGAACGAACTAAATACGGTCCTGGTCAATCTATGGAAATGAATACACTTTATCGTTTTTGGTCATTTTTTTTACGTGAAAATTTTAATCGTCGTATGTATAACGAATTTAAACAATATGCTGTTGATGATGGAAAAACTGGTCATCGGTATATTATCATATTTATTTTATTTTTTTTTTGTAATATTGAATAAATAAATATTATTTTTAATATTTTAAGATATGGTCTTGAATGTTTATTTCGATTTTATACATATGGTCTTGAAAAACATTTTCGTCAAGAATTATTTGAAGATTTTGAAAATGAAACACTTCGTGATCATGAAGCTGGTAAGAAATAAAAGATATATTTTTGATTTTATCGTATGTAAAAAAAATAAAAAAACACAATATGTATTGTTTCGTTTTTCTTTTAAGGTCAATTATATGGATTAGAAAAATTTTGGGCTTTTCTTAAATATTCTCGACGAAAACCAAAAATTAATCCAAAATTAGAAGAAATATTAAAAAAATATAAACGTCTCGAAGATTTTCGTGTTGAGGGTGCTTCATTTCCACAACAATTTTTTCCAACAAAATCAGGAATTATTGTAAATAGAACAAAAAAAAAAAAGAAAAATAATATTATTTATTTTCCATTACACATATATATTTTAGACTGTACCAGCACCAGAAGCAGTTGCAGCTGCAGCAGCTAAAGAAGCAGCCGCCACTGGAGGAACTAACAGTGATACAACAACAACAACAATGGCTAATTCAGTAAAACTAAGTGGTGAACATCTTCCATCTCGTAGTCGTGTTCAACCACGACAACCGAATAGACGGACAACTTCCGAACGATGTTAAAACATGAGTCGATATTTGGTTCTTTGTGTGTATGCAAAAGGTTTAAAACGGTGCATATCTCTGTGTGTGTATGTGTATGTCTTTCTGTTCGACGGATGAAGTTTCTGTTTGTCTCTAGCGTGCATGTTTTCTTTTTTTCTTCTTTCAAGTTTGTTCATTTCACTTCACGTATTTTTCTTCTTTCTTGTTACTATGCAGTTAATTGGTATGGATCTTTGATATCAAACTGCTAATACACTTTGCTTCTCTCTCTCTTTTTTTTTTTCTTTTCTTCGTCATTGGATTAATCTATTTCTACTCCTTACGTGCATTAGTGTATGTCTGTTTGTCTGTGTACATATTGCATCAGTTTGTTACCGTAGTGGATAGGTAGATCAAACAAGGATGCATTCTCGGATCGACGGAGATATGACTTCTTTGCGTTTCTCCATGTGTGATGTTTCTTTTTTTCGTCTCTCTTTTTTTTTTTCTTTTGGAAAAGACTGCTTGCTAATAAAAAAAAAAAAAAACGTCGAAAGACAAAAGGAATTGTTTTGTTTTTTGGTTTTCTATTACAAAATAATATCGATTATGATTTTTTTTTTAAATGTTTCTTGTAGAAAAAAAAAATAGCTAATACGATTTTTTAGGAAAAAATTAATTAAAACTAATGGCATCATCTCGATTATTCAATAATATTGGTAAGATTAAATTAGAAAAATCTCAAAAAAAATAGAAACACTTGTTTGTTGGAGAGAAATTTAAGATATCTAAAAATTAATTGCACATATATTATAAGTTGAAATGTTAATAATTTTGTAATTTTCTTCTTCTTAGGAAAAGTTGGTATTGGTTTAGCGATTGCCGGTGGTGTTATCAATTCGATGCTCTACAATGGTAAAAGAAAAAAGAAGATTTGAGATATAATTTGAATGAATATTTTTTTTTTATAGTTGATGGTGGTCATCGAGCTGTAATTTTTGATCGTTTTCAAGGTGTTAAACCCGATGTAATCGGAGAAGGAACACATTTTATGATTCCATGGCTTCATCGACCAATTATATTCGATATTCGTACTCGTCCACGTTCAATCCCATCAATTACAGGAACAAAAGGTATAAAAAAGAAACATAATTGAAAAACCAAAAAAAAACGAAATATTTTTTTTGTCTAATTAATTTATTTTTCATTTTAGATTTACAAACAATTAATATTACTTTACGTATTCTTTATCGACCAAAAGCTGAAATTTTACCCAAAATTTTTACTAATTTGGGTTTAGATTATGAAGAACGTGTTTTACCATCAATTACAAATGAAGTATTAAAATCTGTTGTCGTAAGTTTCAAAATAAGTCTTTCGAAAAAAATCTATTTTATAATATAATCTAGGCTCAATTTGATGCAATTGAATTGATTACACAACGTACTCTTATATCACAACGTGTTAGTGAATTATTAACTGAGCGTGCTTCTCAATTTGGTTTATTACTTGATGATATTTCAATTGTAAGTTTAATAAATGAAAGTTATATATGAACTATTTCAATTAACAACAGAATGTATTCAATTTTTCATTTGACTTTGATTCTTTACAAAGATTATGTTTCTCAATAAGTTCTATTAGATATGTTGAGAAAAAATTTTATATAGAGATGTTTTAGTCTCAAGAGTTATTTACAGAATGTACTATTTAATTTTCAAAAATATTTGAGTAGTCTTTAATTTATAATTTCTCTAAAGAAAAGTCTTTACCACTGATTATGTAATATATAAAATTTCGATCTTGGGAAGACCACATGTATTTTAATTTGATGAAATCTCGTTGCTAACGAAGAATTTAGCCTAGATAAATATAATTACAATGTATCTGTTTTTTTTTTACTAGACACATTTAAGTTTTGGACCAGAATTTACTAGTGCTGTTGAATTGAAACAAGTTGCACAGCAAGATGCAGAAAAACAACGATTTTTAGTCGAAAAAGTAAATTAAAATAGAAAAAAAATTTAATTTGATATGATTTTTATCATTTAAAAAAAAAAAACATCAATAGGCTGAACAAAGTCGTCAAGCAAATGTTATTGCTGCTGAAGGTGATGCTCGTGCTGCTGATTTAATTGGTAAAGCTTTAGGTGAAGCTGGTGATGGTTAGTATACTTTTTGTTTTTCTTTTTTTATCTGTTTGTAATCATTATTTAATATTTAGGTTTAATTGAACTTCGACGAATCGAAGCAGCTGAAGATATTGCTGCACAATTATCTAAATCACGAAATATCGTTTATTTACCACATGGTCCTCAAATGTTATTAAATATTTCAGCTTCTGGTCAATAGAATGTTTTTTCTGTCTCGTCTGTGTCGAACCAGTGAGATCTGTTAGAAAAAGAAAAACAACAACAAAACAAAAAAAAAAAAATCAGTTTTCTTGTATTCGTGTGTTTATAACTATTGACTAAAAAAAAAAAAAAAGTTTTTTTTTTCTGTTTTTTCTATTGAGAAAAACAAAGCTTTTTAAATCGATCAAAGCTTTTCTAGATGATAGTTCTAATAATAAAACGATTAAAATGACTAATTTTGATAAATTTTTTCGTCGTTTTATTGCATCTCAATCATTTATACGTGGTTGGGGTAATCCATTACATTTACAAGAACTATGTGCAACTCGTCGTGAGAAAGTTGCAATAAGAAATGAATGTTTAAAACTTGTACCCGCTGAAAGTATACAAGAAAATACTGTTGAAATTATTAAACAAGAAATAAAAGGTGATCGACAATATATTGATGCAAAATTTCGTTCTCCCATTGCTAATCATATGCCACATGTGGTGAGATTTATTCATATAATTGATTTGAGTTTATTTTTATTTTCTATGTATTACAATAGGTTCCAACTGAAGTAGCTACAACTTATTTTCAACTTGTTTTACCTTATGATCATCGTCTCGGTAGTGATTCAATTCCTATAGGTATTTGTTATGCTGGAACAGGTGATCAAGGTTATAATCGGCGAAGACTTCTTACAGCAGGTCCACTTTTAAAACAATATCGTATTGGTTCAATTATTCTTGAAAATCCTTATTATGGTTTAAGAAAACCACGACATCAAGCACGTTCATCACTTTTTTATGTTACAGATTTATTAGTTATGGGTGGTGCACTTATGTTAGAAACACTTGCATTACTTCATTGGTGTGAAAAAATGAAATTAACACCAGCTGTTCTACATGGTTTTTCTCTTGGAGGACATATGGCTTCATTAGCATTTACGAAGTAAAATATAGATAAACCATTGTTTTTTTTTCTAAAAGAAAAATGAACTACGAATCTTTTATAATTTGGTTTTTAGTTGGCCTGGTCCACTTTCTCTTTTATCATGTGCTTCTTGGTCAACAAGTTCAACAGCTTTCTGTGATGGTGTACTTTCACATACAATTCCATGGGATCTTTTAAAAAAACAATTCTATGAAAATAAAGCATATCAAACATTTTATGAATATTTACGTGAAGGAAAACAATCAATAATTTCAAATTTAAATACAATTGATCCTGTTAAAGATATGATGCGTCTTTTAATGGATGAATTTACTTCATTAGAAAATTATTCCCGTCCTGTTCAATCAAATATACCAAATGCATTGTTTATTGTTTGTAAAAATGATGGCTATGTATTACGTAATGGTATACCTGATATGAATGATTTATGGCCTGGTTGTCTAGTTCGATATATTTCTTATGGACATATTAGTGGATTTTTATTTAGTCAATCAGTTTTTCAACATGCTGTTGCAGAAATGTTACAACGACAACAACCAAATGTTAAACTTAAAAAAAGTCCAATAATGTCACCTATACCTATAACGACGTCTACTAATGCATGAAAAATTTTTGTCTATATCTTTTTTTTTTCTTTTGAAAAAAATGTATAAAATATTTTCTTTTTGTTTTGCTTATTTTGTTTTTTTTTTTTCACTTCTTTGCTATAACGTTCAACGATAACTAAAACCGAGCGTACACTGTAGTTAGAATATAACATTGAGATAAATAAATAAAAAAAAACAAAAAAAAAAGAAAAAGTACAATATCACCTAGAAGATTTACTTAGGATAAGTTCAATTTTTTATTGGTTATAATTTGTGTATATTCTTTTTTAATATTTTAGAAAAAAGAGAATGTTTTATATTTTATTTATATATATGTAAATATGGCACAAAATATAGTTGTACAAGTTGGTCAATGTGGTTCTCAAATTGGTTGTCGATTTTGGGATTTAGCTCTACGTGAACATGCTTCACTTATGTCTTCAACGAATCCAAAAAAGTGCATTTATGATGCGTCATTAAGTGCATTTTTTCGTAATGTTGATGATACTAAAAATACTTCTTTATCATATCCATCACCCATACGTACACTTAAAGCACGGGCTGTTCTTGTTGATATGGAAGAAGGTGTACTTCGTTCAATACTTGCTAGTCCATTAAGAGATTTATTTGATGGTGAACAATTTATTCGTGATGTTAGTGGAGCAGGTAATAATTGGGCTGTTGGAAATCGATTCTATGGAGAAAAATATCGGCAAGTTTTAAGTGATGAAATTCGTCGACAAGCTGAACAATGTGATTCATTACAAAGTTTTATGCTGATTCATTCCATGGTGAGCTAATAGGGTGAGTGTATGTGATAAGAAATAATTGTTTTAGTAGATTTATAAGATGCAGATAATTTAAAATTCGAACAAAACTTTTCTGTTTTGGCGGTTTTTTTTTGTTTGTCATGAGTGGATCGAGTTATTTCGGAATAAATGTTATTTTTGATGCATTTAAACGATATTTTGATAATGAAACTAAGAAAAACTAATTTAAAAAAAATATGGTTAAGAAAATAATTATACAGGCTTTTGTTTGGTATGATAGCAAAACATCATAAATATTGGTTAGTGTTCAAAGGTTTTGACCATTGATAGAACTTTTTATTATAGGGTGGTGGTACAGGTAGTGGTCTTGGCACATTTATTTTATCATTATTAGATGAAATGTATCCAAAAGTATGTCGTATTGTAACACCAGTTTATCCATCAAAAGATGATGATGTTATAACATCACCATATAATTCTGTTCTTGCTACACGTGAATTAACTGAACATGCTGATTGTGTTCTACCCGTAGATAATGATTCCTTGATTGATATTGTATCACATTGTGATAGTTCAACTAAAAAAACTGATGATGGTCGATGTCCATTTGATTCTATGAATACAATTGTTGCTAATTTAATATTAAATTTAACATCATCATCACGTTTTGATGGACCATTAAATGTTGATTTAAGTGAAATTCCAATGAATCTTGTACCTTATCCACGAATGCATTATTTAATTAGTTCACAAATACCAGCACCATTTAAAATGACAACAAATTCTTCTATACCACGAAATATAAATCAAATATTTCGTGATGCACTTTCACCACATTTTCATACATTACGTGTACGTCCACAAATTGATGGTATTTATATAGCATGTGGAATGATATTACGTAGTAAAACAATTCAAATGTCTGATATACGTCGTAATATTGATTTACTTAAATCTAAATATATGAAATTTGTTAAATGGAATGAAGATGGTTGGAAAATTGGTTTATGTATAGTACCACCAAATGGTTTACCATATTCATTATTAACTTTAGCTAATCATACATGTATAAAAGAAACTTTTATTGAATTAAAAGAACGTTTTACAACACTCTATCGTCGTAAAGCACATGTACATCATTATACAGATCATATAGAATTAAATGATTTTGAACAAGCACGAGAAAATCTTAATCAATTAATTGAAGAATATAAAAATATTGAACAAACAAGTGGATTATTAGATACAACAACGAATGAGAATTCATCATCAACAACAAATATTCCTCGTTTAAATGTTTTATCTTGAAAATATATAATTTATTTTTTGTTGTTGGTTTTGTTTTTTTTTTCATTTGTTTGTTTTGTTCTTCTCTTTCGTGCTTATCTTATCTCATTTCTTAGTGTCAGTTTGAAAATTTTGCATACACACAGTTGTTTCTTTTTCATCTTCAGATGATGACATACCATATTATTATATTTTTGTTGGTTATTTTTTCAAATCAAGGAATTGTATGTATATATATATATAATAAAGATGAAGTTTGAATGAGTTTTCTTTTATTTTCATTAAGTTTGGTAAACAATGTTTGAGTGATCAATGGCCACCAAAACCAGATCGAATAGTTCCGACACATATTGTCAATTTAGATTCACCACCTATAGAACATTGGCAAGAAATTGCAACTATTTATAAACCTGCAGTAAGCAAATGTTTATCTTTTTATTCGTACTGAAATTATCATAAACGTTTTATTAGATTATTGATTTGGTTGATTATATCAAACAATTCGTTCTCTCAATTTCACCTGAATTACAATTTTTAGTTAGCCTTGTCGATACTAAACTGGTACATTTTATATTCATATGCTTGAATTTTTCATTTCTATTAACAAATATTTGATAGCCGGCTATGGCTGATACATTACCAGCACCGTATGGTGATGAAATGAAAGGTATTAGTCAAGCAACCGGAATACCATTGGGTAAGATACTATAGTTTTGCCAATAATATAAAGATAAGAAAAAAAAAACTTGTATAAATTTTTTATTTTTCATAGGTGAAATTGTTTTGTATAATGTTTTCTATGAAATTTTTACATTATGTACATCCATTGTGGCAGAAGATCAAAATGGTAATATTCTTCATGGACGAAATCTTGATTTTGGCCTTTTATTGGGGTAAGTAAATAAAGAATATACATATATATTAAATTTCAATTTATATATCGATATATTTTAGTTGGGATATGTTAAACAATACATGGACATTATCAGAAAAGTTACGTCCATTGATTACTCAAGTAAATTTTACTCGAAATGGTCAAGTTCTTTTTAGAACAACGAGTTTTGCTGGGTAAGTATAATCAATCATCTGATTTAAAAATGAATCGAATTGTTTCTTTTTTTTTCTAGCTATATTGGTGTTATAACAGGCGTCAGACCAGGTATTTTTAGTATATCAATGAATGAACGTTATGGTTTTAAAGGTGGTTATATTGGATTAATTGAATGGATCTTTAATATTAATCGTAAACAATCATTTGTTACATTTGCTATGCGTGATATGTTAACAACGTCAGAAAGTTATGATCAAGCTGTTAAATATTTAACTGAAGTTAATCTTACAGCTCCATGTTATTATATTCTTGCTGGGCCAAAATCGCAACAAGTAAAGAATAGATTTTTGTTTTTCTTTAATAAAATATTGACATGATCTCTTGTATTATTTTTTTTTCTTTATAGGGTGTTATTATTACTCGTTCACGTAATGGACCAGATGATATTAAACCGTTAGGTAAAGATAATTTATGGTTTTTAGTCGAAACAAATTATGATAATTGGAAAAAACCACCTTTTTTTGATGATCGTATAACACCATGTATTGAATGTATGAAAAATAAAGGAAAAAATCAAGTTACGTTCGAATCATTATTTAATGTTTTTTCATCACGACCAGTTCTTAATAAAGTAAACAATATATATATCTTTTTTTTTGGGAATATTTTAATTTGATAATTATGATATTTTTTTTAGTTAACTGTATATACAGCTTTGATGGAACCAGCAACTGGTCGATTGGAATCCTATTATCAATATTGTCGTGATGAAGATGCACCATGTGCACCTTGGTAGATGAAGTGTACTGTTGTTTATTGAATGATACATTCCGATTCTATCTATTTTTTTCATTAAATTTTTTGCCATCAATGCATGTATTTTTATGTTTATTCCTTATACATAATATAATTATCAAATAATTAACTTTATTTTTTGATTGTATATAATAAAATGCTGGTTATACAAATATTTGATGATAAATCTATAAGATTTAAGGAATATAAATATAGTGGTTGTAATATCAAAGAAAAAAATAACTTCTTCCAATAAATTTAAAGAAAAAAAAAGAATCTGCTCATAGTTAAAAGAATTCATATCAAAGTTCGAATACACTTTATTAATATAAGTTTTGAAGAGAGCAATTTCTGTAAGACATAAAAAATAGAATACTATGTAAAATAATGACTTTTAAACTTCAATTACGATTAAAAAAACTAATTATCTTTGATTAAAAGTTCGTATAACGTAACGCTGAAAACAAACTTTCTGTGATATTGGCTAAATTTAATGGCAAGCTGCTAGTAATAAGATGAAACATAGGTAATAAAAAGAAAAAAAATCCCTAACTGAAACACGCCATGTTTAATACTCTTTTCTCGATATATTAAAGAAATTATTCTCAGAAAAATCCTAAAAATATTTCAATTGATAGAACTTGCTTTGAAAGGTATGAACATTTTATTGACTTTTCAGTCTAACACACAGTATTTACACTAATATTATACAACAAACCTCTGATTTCATAATTTTACCATATACAGCTCTTGTAGTCACTGTAACACTGAAAAGTTCCAGAAGTAAAACTTTTTCTTCACATGATGTTGAATCGTTAAGAAACGTCAACTTTAAAAGTACTATATGGATGATGAGTAGAGACCTGCAGGCCGCTCTAGACTTGATCAAGTTCAAATTGGAGATCATGTCCAAATTCAATTTCTAACCTGATTTGCATTCAGTTTCATATCTGAATCGAGAAAAGATGACGTCAGTCTGTCCAAGTTTACGTAATGAAAATAAACGAATACAAATAGTCGATTTGAATGTAAAAAAAGATCTTTTTTCTGTTCCTTTCCTAAAATAAATGATTTGCTTTTTTAATAAATAGCAAGCCACATTAATTCAAACTGATTACAAGTCGGTAACTGATTAAAAAGAAACTTGCCTATAGTTCATGCACATCTAAAAAGACATTTTTATTTAAGACGTGTGAAAATAATTTTCATCGGAATATCTAGTGAACTACAGAAAAGTATATATACTTAAGTTCTTTCAAAAATTTGTGAAAAAAATCTTATCTCGAATTCATCATTAAGTACATAAACTCACTGTTGAAGAATATTCAATGAAACAACTTCTTCTTGCTGCCAAAATTATCCTCAACTTTATTCATTATCACTTATAAATTTTCACGTAGAAATACTTTATCAATACTTAACAGGTATAGTATTTAATTTTCATTAGAATGAAAAATTAAACAATGTACTTGTACAAAAGTTATTAATTATTTGTACTTTTTTTTTTAAAAATGGTTTAATTCTTCATGATATTTTGATCAAACAAATAACACATCTTAATATTGATATTAAAAAAACCCAACAAAATAATGCTCGAAAACTATTTCAAAGACATTTGCATTAATCATATCTTTATGTAGAAAATCAATCGTTTTTAATTTTTGTAATATGTTTCCTATACGAAAATATTCGACTCCGCTTTTTTTATCTATCATGGAAAAATTATCTACTTTCCATTTTCATCAAATTGCAAATTAATGTCGAAAATTTAATTGATTATCTTTATCTACTTGTTGAACCTTTCGTTTGTTTATCAACAGTAAGTATACTTTGAGTGATTATATATTGAGAAAAAAGAAAAAGACTAAACTAAATAAATAAATATTCTTAATTTTATTGTTTTTATAGAAAAAAAAACTTCTGAACTTGAAATATTTCTCATTCATCACACATTTGAATATGATATTCTAATTGTTCCGTTACTTTGTCGAAGAATTGCAATGTTATCTATCAATTGAAAGAATTAACTCAATTTATATTCATGGTATTTAATTATATGATCAATTTCTTATTTATATGACAATATTGAAAAAATTTACATTTAATATCAAGACAAAGTTCTATAATAAAAACGTCAGCATTGAACTTCCATCGAATGAAGATATTCAACATAGTTTCATCGGTAGAAGTTATCAACAAGTAACTTCATATGTTAATACTTAATTATTTCTATGTGACGGTGAATGTCATATCTATTCACTTCCATACAAATTCAAATATTTTGTTAAACCCGACAATTCTTTTCAATGTAGCATATTTTATAAAGTTCGACTATTGAAGATGAATGATATAATTGTTTTTGAACATAGATTATTTAAAGTTATTTCTCAAGACTTTCCTTTTCTCGAATTCTTATATATATATATCTAATGCTCATTCACAAAAAGAAAAAATGACATTCATCTTCAACATTAATCATATTTCCTTATCACACATGAGCATATATTGATTATATTGAATTATGTCTCCTGAAAAACAAAAAGCATGAATCTACTTTGTTTGCTGAATCTCTGCATTCAATACAAATCACTTACAACAATAACAAACTATTTTATTAATGATGAAACATATTTTAATTTTGACAAATTAATAAGTTTTAATGTATGTCAATCAAATTGTTCGTTCAGAAAATCTTCATGAATCTTTTTCTTTGTTATAAATTGTTTCAATAAAAGGAAATACAATGAAAAAAAAAACGAAATATTTTTCATTTATAATATCCTGCAACAAAGAACATTAGAATAACTAGATGGTATTCGAGTTTAACTCGACTACATAATGTGTAATACGAAGCGATTTACACATCTATCAACGTGAAATTATATGAAATGAGTAGTCAATGTTTGCGGTTGAATACACTACGTATTATTTCGAAAATTATTTCTAATTAATTATTGCAATCGAAAAAGTACCAATTATTAGTAATCGTGTGGTAATCTTTGGTAGTGTTTTGTAAAGGAAAAAAGTAATTATATGCTATATTCTCTATTAATTTCCATTTTTTAAATTAAGATAGCTGTACGATTGTATGTATAGGTAGCAGTTCACACCTATATTTTTGTTGTCATTGCATAGAAAACTTCATCAAAAAAAAATATTCAAAATAACTAAACTACAACTGAATGAAACTTGATTTACAGTCAAATGTTTGTGAAAATTTTCATGATAAGGATAATTTTTTATCAATATTAATCGTTCCATAATATCTTCTGTTTAAAAAATTGTTTAGTTATAAATCATGATAATTAGCAAAACAAAAATAATCATATAGAAAAGTTTCAATTTTTTAACTTTTCATAACGATTACAAAACAACTACTGATGAAATGATCATTGGAATAAAAATATTAATGCTTTCGATCTAATAATATGGATACATCGATTAAATATTCTCTCGTTTAATCACTCTACTGATCGTTAGACCTTTTTATTTTGAAATGTGAAGAAATGTTATATCGTTGCTAAAAAAAGAACGGTAATGGCCATTCTGTGTTTTAGTATCTCTTGTCTAAAATTTTCTAATGATATTTCTACTAATAACGAACATTGTCATCGTATATCTTGTTTATTAATAGAAAAATAATCTATTGAAGAAATGAAATATGAAAAAAACAAAATATTTTCCTATCAAATGATAGTTTATGATGCTTACTATCAGAGACATATTTTCAAACTTTATGTTTCTCTTATATTTTACAATTTGTTCTATAAATGATTCATTTTAGTACTCAAGGACAGAAAATTTTAACTTTATTTTTGTATTATTTCATTAATTCTTCGTTTCTTTTGTTCAATTACTTTTTGTCTAATTATTTTAATGCGAATAATAATATTAAAACAACAAAATTAACTTCTCGGTTTATATTTTATTCTTCTTGTTTTTTTTTTCTTTTAAATAAAAAAAACCTGATCTTATTCCATAAAACTTATGTTTTTTTTTCTTTGCTTTTGGTTAATTGTAGAAGAACAAGCAACAAGAATATATTTTTTTGTTAACAAATGATTTTAAACAGTTTGTCGTTTTTTCCACTGTGCAAGTGGACCATGATTAGGCAAATATTTAACATTGCCACCATCATATTGTAATTGTCCTTGTTGTAATAAACGATCATAATCTTCACGAGTAAATTTTGTAAAACCCCATTTATCGGAAACGAAAATTTTTTGTCGTCCTGGAAATTTGAATTTAGCACGACGTAAAGCTTCAATAGTTTGTGCTTTATGTTGATCTTTAACACGAACCGACATAATAACTTGACCAATATTAACACGAGCAACAGTACCTAATGGTTTACCAAATGCACCACGCATACCTGTTTGTAAACGATCGGCACCGGCACATGATAACATTTTATTAATACGAAGTACATGAAATGGATGAACACGCATACGTATATGAAATGCATCTTTGCCACAATGTTTAACTAAATATTTATTTGCACAGATACGTCCAGCTTCAAGTGCTTCACTTGATAATTGTTCATATTCATCAGAAACAAGATGAACACATAATGGAAATTCATCAACACGAGCTTTTTTTCGTCCTAAATCAAATATACGAATTTTTGGATCAGGTACACCACGACAAAAACGAGATTTTGGCTATAGAAGAAGAAGAAAAAAATAAATAGATTCATTTATTTTACTAACAAAATAAAAATAATAATAACTTACATATGGCTTGTTCTTGCAATAACGGTAACAACGGGCAGGTCGACGACCCATTTTTTTGTTTTTGTTATTATATCTTAAATAATTAAGAAAACAATATTAAATTATTCCATACAAAATAAAACTATGATATATATATATATAAATAAATAAATAGAATAAAAATGCACCGTCATTTAGATGGTTCAAGAAATCTATGACTCTATTTTCCACCACCATGATGAATATGCATATTTTAACACATTCAAGCACATAGTTAAATATAATATAATACATCATTATAAAGGTTTCATTCTAAATTTCTATTGGTTATTAAGAATAATTTTATTCATATGAAACCTATTTTGCGTATATTATATTTACTCAAGTAAAAAACTTACTACAAATAATATATAGACTAATAGATAAACATATGATTGGTTAAAAAAATAAAACCAATCATATTTATATATTATAAATGATGATGATATGGTAATCTATTGCTAGTTCTCTCATATTAATTCATTCATCCAGGCAGGCAAGCTGGCTGTAAAGGTCAGCGTATGAGTGAGTAACGTAAGTTACCCAATAGTACATTAAAATCTCCGATGTAATCCATCTATTTGTTATATTCTTTTGCGTACACCAGGTGAGTACACATTTGTTATAAAGAAAAAAGAAGAACGACACTTAATTATTTCTTTTGTAAAAAAAAAAAAAAGACATTGAATATTTAAACTTAGACTATTACAATTGTGTATGGCCACTACAATTGAAAATAAATCAAATAGTGTTGAACAACAAGAAGAAATAAATTTACTACGAGATCATTTTAAAGATGATATTCGTATTCTATCATCAATTGGACAATTTTCTTATATATTAAAAATACGAGCTAATCAATATGATGTTTCATTAACATTACAATTAGATGGTAAATATTGAATAAGATAAATTTTAATTTTACTAATTTATTCTTTTTTTTCTCTTTAATTAATAATAATAATAATCATAATCATAATCATAATTAACAGAATCTTATCCTAATAAATTACCTGAAATAATAATAACAGCGCCTCGCCTTTCACCTGATCAAATTTTACTTGTTCAAAAACTTCTTCAATCTTATAGTGAAACATTACTTAATCAACCAATGATATTACTTATTTATTCACGTTTACTTAAATGGTTTGATGAAAATAATATTCAAACATTAACTGTTAATACAAATAATATACATAACAATACGTCTGTTCCACGTTCACCAATAAATAGTAAACTTTTTTCACCAATGGCATCTATTAATAATCATAATAAATTATTACATACAGATGAACATAATCATGATGAAATTAAAAAATGTTCAATGAAAACAGCTGATGATGTTATAACATTTATTGAATGGGATAGTCGTCTTGAGAAACGTTTTATTCGTATTGGTTATATAGATCATTTTCTTGGTTTACAAGAAAGATCATTTAATGATTTTGATTTTAAAATTGATCCATCAACAATAAATGATCAACATACAAATACAATTGTTATATCAAAACATCGTATACAATATTTTAAATATGCTAATGAAATTATTTGGGATAAAAAATCCCGTATTGATTCATTATTTGGTTCAACTGGTAGTCAACAAACAATTGATGATATTATTAAACGACATGAAAATCTTGTTGAAACAAAGTAAGTATTCTAATCATTTCAAATAGATATTCTATCATCTTATCTTTTGATTATTATTTTGTTTTTTTCTTCTTCTTTTATATATCAGAAATTCTCAAGATGAAAAAATTACTGATATCGATCATAATTTACCAACAAAACGTTATTTAACTTTAACCGATGGTTTATATAAACCGAACTATTTAATATCAATACCAATAAACGATTCATCGCTTATATCACATTATATTGCATATCGAGAACATTTACTTTCTACATATCCTTCAATTTTTTCTTCTTCATCTTCACATATTCTATCAATTGATCCTCATCATCTTCATTTAACATTATTGACATTACATCTTAAAACAACATTACAAATTGAACAATGTATATTAGCGTTAAAACGTATTCAAGAAGAAATACATTATCATTGTTCATATCCTGAACGTATATGTTTAGAATTTAATGGTATTGATACATTTCATAGTAAAATATTATTTATTAAATGTCAACAAAATAATCGTTTAGACAATTTACGTACATTAATTATTGAACGTCTTTATGAACAACAACAAAAACAAAAAATTGATGATATATTTTTTGCTGGAAACTATCAAGAATTTATTCCACATATAACTATATTTAAAAATAAAAGAAAATTTTCATCAATCTATCAAAATGAAATGAATAATATATATTTTGGTAAACAATTTGTTAATGCATTGCAATTATCTTCTATTGGTACAAGTGAAAATGAACAACAAATGTATCATTGTATATTTAAACTCGATTTGAGTTAAAAAAGAAAAAACAAAGAAAAAGAAAGAAGAATTGCGATCTGTCTTTTTTTTTTCTTGCACTGTGTGAAGCCCTTTACACTTCTCTTTCATATTGGTAAAATTGCTTATCCTTTCTTCTTTTTTTTCTATAATGACGAGTCGCTGCCAAGCTAGATAGTATCCTCGTCAATTATCAGTACGCATAAGTATCCTTTTTTCCTCTTCTTCTTCGTATTGAAAATTATTTTTATTTCGAGATGAACAGTATTTCTTTGTGCGTGTTAATATAAATACCTCTTTCTCTTTTCATGCCAGTTGAATATGTAATATTACGAATGATAATCATATTTTTTTGTAAAGAGGAAATAGAGAAGACTAGTATATCGGTGAGGAATGAAATGTGTGTGTGTGTGTGTGTTTTTTTCTTTCTTTCTTTTTTTTTTATATATGTTGAACGTCAGTAATTGTGTCACATTTATTTATGAAAGAAAAGAGAAATAAAAAGTTTTTTTAATGAACAGTATGAATGAACGATATAATATTTAACTTTTTTTTTTTTTTATTAATTATTATTGTTTCATATCAAGTTAATTTATAGTAATATATTACATTAAAAACAATGAACATTTATAAGTGTTAAAATTATATTAGAATAAATAATTAAATTATTAATACTGTTATTTTTTTTTTTTTTGCTTCGTTTTTTTTTTGATTACTTTAGGGAAAACTTAGCAATTATATAGCATATTGTAAAAGAATTATTTGTTAGATAAGTAAAACTAGTCAATGGCTAGTTATAAATATTATGTCGATAGATATAAACAGTACGTATTTAAGCATGTCTTAGATATGATTCAAAATTAGACATCTCAAGGACTTGAGGCTAGTAGAAACTTTGCTCGAAAGTAAACAGTAGTACTAGGGCATTACTTCTGATAAGAAACAGAAAATAAGAAAAAAATATGGCAAATGTCAAGCATAAATATGATAAATAACTTTATGTTACACTAGAACTGACCCAGATGAAAACAATATTTGTTTATTCATGGAACTTCTAAATTAGTTAATAGTTATAGAAAGCATTAGATTATCCATATTTACATTCATCGTATACTTATTGATTAAATTTAAATTGTTCGACGTAAAAATAATAAAAAACATTTGTCATTTGTCTATTAATTGTCATTTCATTGTGTCCATAGAGAATTTTTCTGTTGAAGTGACATTAATATGTGCTATATTTATATAACTAACTGCATAGATATCGTCAAAACATTAATAACTGTAAGATCTTTCTCGAAATCATAAAATAGTAAGAATATTCTGATTAGATTACTCATATATCTTATTCAATATATATATATATAGTAAAATTCTATTCATATAGCTAATAAGTTTTTCATATGTCTTGAATTTATATGAATCTAATATAAAAGAATTTCTTTTTATTCTTGTCAGTATTTTGCTGATTTTAACTTTTCTTAATCTCAAAAGATCGATTCTTATAATCAAAATTTCTATAATTTCTTTGATATTGATTTACTATCAATACTTTTTGACATTAATAATAAGTCAGTAGTCATATATTTATTAACGATAAGAAACTATTCATTTTCTTTTTCTTTTTTTCTTCTATTCTAGAGAACGAAATAGTATTAAAATATTATGGGGTTTTACTTGGAGATTTAAGATGTTTATTAAGTAATCTGATATACACTAAACTGATAACTTAAGAATCTTATCTAAATCATTGCTTCATGATGGTAAATATTCAAACTAGTCCTTCAATCAAATCTTATAACTATAAATGATTTTCTATTAAAAATTTACAGATCAATCTACAGAGTGTCTTTAAAAGTCATCTACCAAAAGTTGTTTCGTATATACTTTGCTATTTCATTTAACTTTATCAACAAATTTTTTTTTAAAATTATATAGGTGAATATACCGAGTTTTTATTTATCCGAGCGAACTTCCATGTTACTCTACAAAACTATCATATTAAATCGAGATACAAAAATTTTGCGTTCTTTGTAAGATGCGAATAATTCATAAATCGACGAAGGTTTTTTTTTCTTTGATATTTTCATATGGTTGGATAGAGCTCGTCGAGTTAAAAAAATGTATATTGAATAATTTTTAGACCTTTTCTTTGAAGTAAAATTTACAAGAAACTATCACAGAAAGTCGAAATAATTAAAGGAAAAGAACGCTATTTAATATTTTTCTGGATATAAAAAAAGAAAGCAAAATTTTTGTATCTTTACCCAATGTGGTAGGTGACTTTTAAGACACCCGATATAAATGCTTTCTGGTATTGTATTAGAATTATCTATTGTGAAATCTATACAAAATCAGAAATATTTATTAATTCTAAATCAAAAACAACTTCTATTACAAATGATTCTTGTCGTAGATCATATGAGTCGAACAACATAATGAATGTTTTTTATTTTAATCAAAATCAATTATTTCTTTTTTCCAACGTGTATTGAATTTATTATTTTTCGTGAACTCAATATAATTGATAATAGTCACATAATTAAGTCAGTCATAAAACTTCTGTATTACCTTTATTTTTTCATGAAAATTAATAATCAATTACTGTTAGAAAGATTCAAAATCATTTGTGTCTCATTTTGCTAGAAAAAATTTTATTCTAAAAATCGATTCATTTAGAATGTTTTTGAAGTAAATCCATAGATCATGATTTATAAATATTCTATTTTTATTCATTAAATATACAAATGATTCTAAATAAATGTCTTTGTATCTTTTTCATTTTTTTGAATGAATGAAAAACTTCTCTCACTTCAAAATTCAATTATAATATCAAATTTTTATGTTAGCAATGTATCATATTGAATTTATACTGAAATAAGTTAATTATTGTTATCACTCTTCTCGTTAATTCATTTAAATTGAATTTGTTTTTTTTTGGTTAGTAATACAATGACTTTATGCATAATTTTTCTTCCTCTATAATTATGTATTGATCATAATCTGATTTAATCTAAAAAATGATCATTTTCGATATAATTGAGACAAGACTAAATTATTCGAAAAATATTTTTACTTGATAAATTATTAAATTTTTTCAATATTTTATTTTTTTTTTAAATAACAAAACAAAAGCAATCATAATCACTGTTTTAAATAATTAAATATGTACATAAATTTTACGAAAAAGGAATTTCAAGTGTATGATAGTATGGTGATGAAGAAGCATTTGAATAATCACGTTCTTGTTGATAGTAAAGACATGTAAAATTATGTAGATCAGTTGAAATAGTTGTTGCTGATGTATCTATCGATTGAATACAAGTACCCGTATGTTCAGTTGAGATTGTTTCATATGAACAATTATTACTCAATGTTTCATTATTTGATATTGTTGATGGTTTTGATTTATAATTATAAAATAAAGATTTTCGTCGACGATAGAATTGAATTATTATAAATAAGAGAATAAATATAAGAAAACTAATACAGCTGATTATAATCAAGCGAGAATTATTAATTTGTCGATATTGTTGTTGTTGTCGAATTGACGAACATGTTAATTGAAATAGAATTTTTCTATCAATAATATCATCTGATAAAAACATTGGTGGTGGTGGAAGTGTAAAACGAGGTGGTGGTGGTGGAAGACGAAACATCATTCAATATATATATATATATTTCAATTCTAAATATGACAGACTATACTTATATACATATACATACGGTAAATATATCCAGCTGGTACACTATCGAAAAAAGAAAACAAGAGAATAATCTATCTAATAAATGTTTCTCATTGATTACAGTCCGTTAAATTGTTAGACTTGCTTGTTTATGAATGAATAGTATATATATATACATATCGTCAACAATGTATATGTATATAAAAAAAAAAAATTTCATTCTCGTCCGTAACTGATATTTTCACGGTGTATATACAACAGCTTAAAGTGATAAGGAAAAAATTAGTATTAACATATACAACTTTAGATAATAGATAGATATAGGTGAGAAAAAGACGATCAAGTGACATCGATTGGAAACCATCATATGCAACTAATTCTATGTCATAATTCATATCATCATATTTAGAAATCGTTCTTTTTTTTAAATATGTCATAAAAATTGTTATTATGATTTATTTTGTTTACGAGTTTAAATTTTGTACATTATGTTAATAAGTGTAATCGGAATGATCCAAATCCTTGAATAATTACAAATAAAGAAATTTATTTATATATGATTGAATATGTCGGAATGTTTTGATGTTCAAATTGTTTTTATTCGTTAATTTGATTCAATCGATCGGAAAGAAGTAAACATGTTAATTGTTGTTAGAAAGATAAAACAACTATAAGTCATTCTAGACGGTTGTTATAAAAGTTGTATTAAGATTTTTTTGTTTTCTTTTATTGTTATACAAAACTTAGAAATATGATCATATGTGTTGTTTTAAATAAGCTATTTTAACCTCTTGAATCCCGCTGTCTTCAGACTGAAGACAAGCAGGACTGGCGAAATCGACCAAGTTTGACAAATGAAAATGATTGGTTGGAACTTTTACAGAAAATCAAACGAATTTTTCTGCTTCGGAAAATGCCAAAACTGTCCGGTGCTCCTCCAGCATTCTCGAGATATTCCTTAATCTAGTTCCAAATTATTGTAAAACTAGCGCCATCTGTGTTACATTTTTGTTAATATCTTCAGAATGCTGGAGGAGCACCAGGCAGTTTTGGCATCTTCAGAAGCAGAAAAATTCGTTTGATTTTCTGTAAAAGTTCCAACCAATCATTTTCATTTGTTAACCTTGGTCGATTTCGCCAGTCCTGCTTGTCTTCAGTCTGAAGACAGCGGGCTCCAAGAGGTTAATATAATTAAAAATAAAAATGTTTTTACAAAATCTAATTAGCCTTTTTTTGTTTATTTATTTATTTTTTTGTACAATTTTTAAAAAGTTTAAGAATATCTTGAAGGGGACTCCCCCCCCCCCTCAGAAAATCGATTTTTAGATAAGCACATATACTGAAAGCCCAAAGTGTCCTCTTTCAGATTATGTATGATTTGTTGCATTTTGAAAGGTTTTGAGTGATGAAAATAGCGGTTTTCTGGGAGCACTGGTAGAAATATAAGATTTTATCAGAAATTTTTTTAGTTAGGGAGATGCGGCAGTGGTCAACAAACTTGTAGATTTTGGTTAAAGAAAAACACATATACGTTCTGCTATATTAATTAATTAGAGGAACGTAGTCAGTTCTGCTTAAAATCCTGTATACTTGATGAAATTGCCGTATAGAGGTCGTGACAGTCATAGTGAAATTAAAAATTGTTTCATACAAACTCGTTGATTGGGTTTCTCAAAATCACTTTTTTGGAGAGCTCGGAACCGATTTCTCAGACTGCAGAAGAGCTAGTGAGCCACTGTTTTTTTTTAAATAAAAGAAAAGACCTATGTCTAGAACTGTATATATAGCGTTTTTTTTCGAAATTCGATATCTTTGCAGAGATAACTGGAAAACACTGATGTCAAAAAGCGGTATATTCCGAGTTATTGCAGGAAAATGTCTCGTTAATTCGAACAAAATTGAATTTCGAAAAAAACGCTATATACATTTCTAGATTCAGGTCTTCTCTTTTATTTAAAACAACAGGTAGCTCTCTATCTCTTCGACAGTCCCAAAAATCGGTACCTTTCGAAGACCACCATTTTGGGAACTAATTTGTCAATAACTCATTAAAACAAGAATTTTATGAGTCAAAAATTTGTAAGAAATTTAGTTAACGCAACACACATATTGTCTGAAAATTTCAGCCAAATAGGTCCACGAATAACGAAAAGCGATTCCTGAGGGGGGTCCCCCCTTAATAACTGAAAGTATACAAATGGTGTGAAGTTTAGACAAAAAATTGCATTTACTATATGAAAAAAAATGTAATAACTTTTGATTATTCAGGAGGCGTGGATACCTTCCTCAGAAACTCGCCAGCTGAATATAAGTTAAATCGATTGATAATTACAATGTTTTAATCATTACTGAACTAATTTCATTGAAATTATCGATGTCTCAAAAGCAAAATTGCGATTTTTTGATTTGTCAATTATAAATAACCAATAAATTTTCATAGACATGAGTAACAGCTGATGCCCTTTCTTTTATTATACACTGTTCTTCAATCATTCGTCTTGCCTTATTTTTCTTTTTGTTAATACAATATAATCATGACGTTTACGAATATAGATTTCTTTTTTTTTTTATGCATATCTATTACTTTCGAATAGTATGAATTTTATTGAATTGTTTGTCATATATAATCTTTTGGCAAAAAATTTGCGACCTCTGCTATATAAACATTTTTGTTTATTAGAAAATGTCATATATATATAAAAGTGCATATAACTATAATCTTATATTTAGACAAAATATATTTCTTAATATATTAAATTTTATTCTTTTAATCTTATAGATTTTATTTGTATAGTCATAGTTTATTATCTTATCACGTTTATTAGGTTTCATTTTTATTTTATTATTGTTTTTTGTTTTTGTCATTGTCATATATATTGTTGATTTATCGTTTGTCTTTCATCATTTAATTGTGCTTAAAAATAAAATATTTGATGACATCTGTACCAAGTGAACTTTATCAACATAGTAAATTATTATAAAGAAAGAAAAACTAAAACGTCTAAAAAAATTTTTATTTTTCTTAGATTATAATCAATTTTCATCAACATCAATGAAAAACCTTGATAATACAGAAGAAATTATTTCAAATAAAACTCAACGTGAATTGGGTATTATTGAAAAACTTTGTTCAACTTATGGTTTTGTTTATTGTTGTCATCGTGATGGTCGTTATTTTTTTCACTTTAGTGAATATAAAAATGATATAACACAAGCTAAAATAGGAGGTAAAAAACAAAAAACAGAAATAACTAAATTTTGTTTTTTTGTTATAATAAATTTCATATTTTGTATTTTTTTTTGGTTTCAAATAGATGTTGTTGAATTTGAAATAATAATTGATAAACGAAAACAAAAACCAGTTGCTATTAATATTATACCTGTTAGTTCAGAAATAATTGGTGAAAATCGTGTTGAAGGTACAATTGCAGTAGTTGCTCGACAACAATTACTCAATAATGGCGTAAATTTTATTTAGTACATTTCTTTTGGTTTTTTTTATAATGAAAAGATTTCATTTTTTTCGTTTACAGTTCGATGAAATAAATTTTATACCTGATGGTAAAGTTACTTATGTAAAAAAAGGTGAAACTTATTTTTTACCATATGATATAACAGATCTTCAAGATTCATCAATTTCAATTAAAGTTGGAGATCAAGTTAGTTATAAATTATTTTTGAAGAAATTTTGTATTTTTTTTTTTTTGTTAATTTTAGGTAACTTTTAATGTTGGTCAAGATCGTCGTACAAATCAATTTTTTGCAAGAAATATTGAATTAATTAAAAATATAAATTCTCCTATAGCAACTATCAAACGTTATCGTGGTGTTATATCAACAATGAAAGATAGTTTTGGTTTTATTGAACGAGAAGATGCACTTAAAGAAATATTTTTTCATATAACGGAATTTGGACCTAATATAGCAACAAATATAATTCAACCGGGTGTTGAAGTAGAATTTGATATTCAAGATAGACATGTAAGTTTAATATGAAAAAATTGATTTAGTTAAAAAGTGATTCTTTGAGATAGGAATAGTATTTTAAATATAGAAACCTTTTGTTTTTCAGTATTCGATATTGGATTACAAGTGTCTCTATATATGTATTTGAAACTAAATCGAGTTTATTCTATTTTTTTGTTTTGTATTAAAATATTTTTCATTTAAATATTTGTAGAACAGTATAACTTGATAAAGAAAAGAGAAATTACAAATATTTGTTATTACTTATGTTTTGTTTTTTTTTACTTGAAAATCATGTTTTTGGAAAGACGGGTAATTTCCAGGGAAGATATTTTCTATAGTTTATTGAACAAAAAAAAAAGTTTCTTTTATTTATTAATTAATTATTTGTAGTCATTTAATTAGAAATTAACTTAAAAGAAAATGTGTAAATATTTTCATTTGTTTTGCATTATGAATGTTGAGATCAAATAATCAATGGTAATTCTAATCTTATCAAATCTGTTTTGTATTTATAGATACAAACTTGAAAAATAATTAGATTATATCTTAACAGATTGATGTCTGAGTAAAAAAAAAAAAATTAACTTAATTCGTCGAAAGTTGAAAGTTTCCGATAGTATGAAAAGAAGTATATTCTACATGAATTATGCTTAGTTCTGATGAGTAATACATTGAAAGATTTGTACAGTTAGAAAACGGATAGAAGTTGAATAATAAATCGTATGATTTACTAATGTTACTTACAAAGGAATCGTTCGAACTGATACTTATCGTTTCAATTCATATTGAGGCTAGAAGAAAGTCTTGGTGAAACTAGAAAAAATTTAAAAGGGTACATACCTACAAGAATTTGAAGCCTTGTTAGGATAGTTCTATAAAATTTTTGTCCATCGATAGATCTAATAATTTATTGAACATTTTGAAAGTTTCATTCGAAAAAAATGTTCCTTTGTTAAGATATTAGACTTTCAAGAAAACTCGTCTTTTTCAAAATGCCTTTAGTAAAC